CCTGAAGTGTTTCATCACAATTTGGCTGAAAGTGACCTCTTATGTGATAACGTTTTCCAAATGTATTATGGTGAAGCTAATTTCGAAATGATTACAAATAGAAATAAACTTCTTGTAAAATACAGATTAATGTTAAGTCTTTAATTAGCTGATCTCAAATTTGTATGCCAAAGGATAAAACAATAGTCATCAAATTAATAAAAAAAAGAAGGAATTGTAATAATGGATAAAAATCCCAAAGCATTCCTAATTGTTTTTTTGTAAAAATATATATCACAAAAGTAATAACTTACCTCAAAAGATTTAACAATTTTTAATTTTGAAATGGAACAATATCAGTATTTTAGGTTCAAGGAACTAGCACTCTAAAGCCATGTTGGTAAAATATAAAATGTGTAATATGATTTTAAGATTATAGTTATTCCTTTTCCCCAAAACATCTAGTGTGAACTTTCCTACACTCTTCTATCAAAATGCAAATAGTTTCTTCAAACTGTAGGTCAAATAAAATTTGTATTATGATGTCTTTACTGAATTTTGTGATAAAGTTCTTGTCTATATTTTGCAAACTTGCACTCTGTATTAGTTTTCACATGATCTTGCTTTGTATTCTCTTCTTTTGCCATATCATATATATCATATACTCTTCCACATTTCACATATATAGCCTTTAACATAATTGGCAACTAGGTAAATGCAAATTTAAAGCATAATGAAATATGTTTAAGATATTCACATTGCAAGAATTGAAACTATTGGTAATTTATACTATTGGCTTTAGGGAATTCGGCATTCTTATATACTCCTACAGAAGACACAGTTTGAATTAAATAATGGAAAAAGCAAAATTTAAACATGTTACTGTCTATCTCATGATTCATCTTTTAGCTAGCTCTTTTACAGAAATATTTACACAGGGAAATGTAAACAGAGAGGATCATTTCTGCATATTTCATAATTGTGAAAAAAACAAGAAAAATCAAAATAGTCATTGAGAAAGTGTTAAATGAATCATTTTATGTTCACATGCTACAATACTCAGATGCGAAGAAGGAATAAAAGTGTCTGTACATGTAGACATAAAATTATGTCGACTATATTTTGTTAACTGAAAAAAATGAGCAAACAACATGTAGAGTGTGATCGGCTTTTCAAAGATGCAGCACAGTGGCTGCAAAGTGGAACAGAGTGGAAAAGTGAAAACTTTCCCGTTGTTCTTTTGTTCACTTTATAAACTTGTTTTACCAAAAAATGAACACCAGTCAACATTTTTGTGCAAACTAGTGCAGAGTGGAAGTTTGTAAAGCATCAGAATAGAAGAGCTTCATTCAGAAACTTAGTAAAAGCATCACAATAAAAATCTTATGTCAGCTAAAGATTGAAGGCTAATCACTGGTCATCTGGAAAATATCTATCTAGATCTCTCTCTCTCTGCCCCCCATTCCTATTCATCCATCTCTTTTTCTGTCTTTTTTTGTCCCTCAGATTTATCTTATTAAACCTTAGATTCACTGCCTTTTTTTTGCCATTGGATGCTTTAAGCTTTTCTTGTTGATTTATTAGATTTCTCTTAATTTTTGTGATAATAGTATTATATGTACTATAAGTATTTTCACCTAGTATATCAATTTTTTAAATGTTTGTGGCTAAACCTGGTGGCTCATGCCTGTAATCCCAGGATTTGGGGAGGCTAAAGCAGGCAGATTTGTAGAGATCAAAATTTTAAGACCAACCTGGGAGACCCCTGGGACTGCAAGAGCCTGCCATCATGTGTAACTCATTTTGTATTTTCTTTTTTTTTGCTAATTTTTGTATTTTTAGTAGAGACAGGGTTTCTACTAAAGCAGGAGGAAATAGTGGAAATTCGGTAGGGACAGGGTTTCTACTAAAAATACAAAAATAATCATTTTGTATTTTCTAAAGTTACCTACACTTGGTGTTGGGTGCCTGTAGTCCTCGCTAGTTGGAAGGCTGAGGTGAAAAGATCGCCTGAGCCTGGGAGGCAAAGGTTGCAGTGAACCAAGGTCACACCACTGCACTCCAGCCTCAGTGACAGAGTGAGACCCAGTCTCAAGAAAAAAAAATCTTCATGATATAATTACTTTTTCAGTGTTGACTGCTGTTATAATCAAATATACAATACTTTCTCTTTAGTTATTATATTTCTGTTTCTGCTACAATTACATATTTAATATTTTTATGTTTGCCCTTAATCGATGTGGTGTTTGGTAAATAGCCGAGATGGGATTCTTATACTAATAGTAACATTATGACTACCTACTGTTTTCTATACATTCATTGAATGTGTCATATATCTTACTTTTTAGACTGTTTTTACAATGACTTTTACATCTTTTCCATCCCCAATAAAATGTTTTTAGAACACTATAACTTTAGAGTGTGTTTTGCTATCTGGTACATATAGTAGGCAGAGATCAAAATTAATATGTCTTTCCCCAGTGATTTAATCAAACACCCATGTTGTCCTAAAGGGATCTTGTATGACAATTATAGTCCTAAATCACCTTACCTTAAAATCAGAGATTATCTTGATGGATCTAAACACGTGGCATCTTTAAACCTGTGTCTGGAGGTTAAAGAGACAGCCAGAGATATCAGAGCATGAGGAGAATTCAATATGTAATTGCTGGAATGAAGATGTGGGAAAGGGGCTTGTGGCAAGGAATGTGGCAGCCTTTGGGAGTTGAGACCATCTCCAACTAAATAACCACATAGGAAACAGGGCCCAAAATCCTGTAGTCACAACAAATTGAATGCTGCCAATATGGGAATGAGCTCCTTGAAAGAGAATTGTTCCTCAAAACCTCCAAATGAGAACTTAGCTTGTGAACATCTTGATTTAAAACCTCGTAATCCCATTTGTAGAGCGACAAGGTGTGCTAGAATTCAGACCCACAGAATTGTAAGGTGTTGAAGGGTGATATTTTAAGTTATTAAGTTTTTGTGATTTTGGTAGTTTATTGTAATTTGTTAATGCAGTAATAGAAAGCAACCATAGTATGTCAACATCCATTTTGTTATCCTCTTTAGATTTCTATTGGAGTGTGTTATTTCATTCAATTTATGTATACCTTTCCAGTAAATATTCTGTCTAGATTTTATGTTTTCTAAATACGGTTAACTTACATTCTTTAAAGTCTTCCTTTTTAGGTTGAAATATTTAATTTCGTAAAATTGAAGGATTCCTTTAAAATATTTCCCACCACTTTGTTTTCATATTTTGTTATTTTTCTTCCCTTATAATCTAGATTTTGTTCACTAATCAGAGTTATTTTACTGTTACTTTGTTCTTTTTCAAATGTTGCTTATTATATTTAGTTTTTCATATTTTCTTCACTAACCTATCATCTGACTTTTATAAACCTATTCTTTTAATAGTTTTTCATGTTTTTAACTGAGAAAGTCTAGTTTTAGAATCTTATTTCATTCAGTATGTCATTATTAAAAACATTTATATCTGTATATTTTTCTCTTACCTTTTCACAGATATTTAGATATATAATAATTTAAAAACTACTATTTTCAAAATATTCAGCACTTTCAATTTTTATCTTGTCCATGTAAATATTATCTCTGGAGAAATATGCTTTTGTAGTTTAGCACTTCTGTGAGGTGTATGTGTGTGTGCACTTGTAAAAATTTTTTAAAAATCAGGATGGTAATTGTAGTTTTTATCTAGTCATTTATCTAGTCTAGTTATTACAACATATCCTTTCCTCTTCGTTGTTATTAATATGTAATACATTTTAAGTTGTGATTGTTGTATGTGCATTTGGAAGAGTTGCTTCCTATGTAAAATTCTTCATACATAGCAATGACATCTCATTAATTTAGATTCTCTAAATTATTATCTAATACATTATTTGTGGTAGCATTAGCCAATAAAAGCTGAAGCATAATTTTTATTACATCTTCCGTAGTCTTTGCTTCATGAATGTTTGTGCTATGTTGTGTAATACAAGCATATTCCTGACTATAGGATATTTCAATTTCAACAAAATAGGAACATTTCCTTTCCCATTTAATGGCTTTCCTTAGAATTTAAAGTCTCTGTTGTTAATATTATCATCCATTACTATTGTATTTGTTTGCTATTGATATTTCCATTTTTAAATTTTAAATTATTTTAAAGATTTTTGTTTTAGGTGTAACTTTGGCATGCAGCATATGGTTTTGCTGTGTGATTCGAAAATTCAAGACTGTTGTTCCAATAAATATATTAGGATTGGCATGAGAAATACATTCAGTTTCAGAATTAATTTTAAGGTATTTTAAAATAAAATATTACTTTTAAAGTATTTTAAAATAAAATATTAATTTTAAAGTATTTTAAAATAAAATACTTTAAAATTATTTAATTTTAATATTAAATTTTAATTTAAAAATTAAAACATTTAAAATTTTAATATTAAATTTTAAACTAAAAATGCTACTCTACTGAACAGCCTTATCGCTGATATGGCAAGAGTCAGTGATCTGAATAGATCAAACCAGCTGCACCATTCTCTAAAGCCAAAACCTAATCCAGAGTGAGCCTTTAACGGTCTTCCTTCATAGGAAGGCTCAAGTTTATACTTTATTTCTTTTGGAGCACATAGATAGCCTATTACATTTCTTCTTAGGTCTACAATATCACCTTCAATGTGTTGGGTTGTCACTGTTAATCAATTTTGACTCTTTTCTGTGGCATTTATTTATGTTATGACCTTATTATTTATTTTACATTTTTTTTAGATCAGCCAATTTAATTTTTATTTTCTTGTGTTAACCTTTCTTCATAATCCTTATAATTTGGACTCAACATCTCTTTCAAGATTTTTTAATGCATATTTTTGAGTACTTTTTAATTACAATGTTGACCTACTCATAGCAAAAGAAAATGTTTCTTATGTCCTAGATTCATTTTTAATATTCTTTACCAATAGTTGGAATACTGATCTAATTTTTTTTTTTACATAGAATCTCATTCTGTTTCCCAGGCTAGAGTTCAACAGTGTGATTTTGGCTCACTGCAACCTCTGCCTCCCAGATTCAAGCGATTTTCCTGCCTCGGCCTCCTGAGTAGCTGGGACTACAGGTGAGTGCCACCAAGCCTGACTAATTTTTGTTAGTTGAGATGGGGTTTCGCCATATTGGTCAGGCTGTTGTCAAACTCCTGATCTTGTGATTGGCCTGCCTCGGCTTCCCAAAGTACTGGGATTACAGGCATGAGCCACCACGCCTTGCCAATTTATATTCTTCTTTATGTACCTGTATGTCTTCCTGAACCATCTATTTGTGGCAAAATCATTTAGAAAAGAGCAAGTAATCCAGTTCAAGGCATTACTGTGACTTACTCTGAAGCTCTTGTATCAAGAAGTGTGTGTGTACCTATATGTGTATGTGTGTTTGTGTGCATGTGTTATGTGCATGTGTGGGTACATTGTAGCAATTCGCTGACCACAGCTTTTTATATAAGTCTCTGTCCTCAATAGGCTGTAACTTGCAAAGCAAGTCTGTTGGTCTGGTCTGGGAATAATTCATCTGCTGTTCCATGTTTTCAAATGTCATTCAGGGAGAGTACCAGGGTCAGTGCAATTGAGTTTCAAGCATGGTATTTTTACCTCAGTCTGTGTTTCCTAATTTGCAAAATGCTGTTTTGTGCAAGATCTGGCTGAGGTTTGGATTCTCTGATATCCATTCTGTCTGATCTAATACTCATTGAACTTGGTAGCACTGTGCTTGGGGAATACAGGAGGTTTTAAAAAGTCATTTAAATAGTATTTTTCATTCCTGTTGTTAATTTGCTTTCTTTTCTTTGATTTTATATTGGTTAGAGAGTAGAAAGAAGGAGAAATAATTTTTATAGATTATAGCATGAATTACATCATCAAAACAATTTTTTAAATAAATAAGCTTAAACATAAAGTTATATGCTCTGTATTCAGAGCAATAATAATAAAAAAACTTGCTTTAGGGATAAAATCCTAGGTATAAAATATTTATATTTGTATATACATTTATAAACAAGGATTAAATACATGTTTAATCATGAAATTTTTTTTATTGAATAAAACAGCATTTTATTCAATGTATTTCACAATTCTTAGTCATTATTCATATTTTTTAAAAAAACTTTATACTGATTGACCAATTTTTATCATTGTATTACATTTTCCTTACAATTTATTATTTTTCTGCACACACACACACACACACACAGAGATATTGTGGTTTTGGATCCAGATCACTGCAATAATGTAAATAGAGCAAAACAGTGAGTCACACAATTTTTTTGGTTTCCCATTACATATAAAAGTTATATTTTCACTATACTGTAGTCTATTAAGAGTGCAGTAGCAGTATATCTAAAAATATATATATACCTTAATTTAAAATGCTTCATTGCTAAAAATTGCAAATCATCAAAGCATTAAGCTAGAGGCAATCTCTTTTGCTGGTGGTGGCTCTTGCCTCAATGTTGGTGGCTGCTGACTGATCAAGGTGGTAGTTGCTGAAGTTTGGGTTGTCTGTGTCAATTTCATTAAAAAAAAAAAATTAAGTTTGCTAAATTGATTGACTCTTCCTTCCATGAAAAATGTATCTGTAGCATTTGATGCCATCTGATAGCATTGTACTTACAGTAGAGCCTCTATGAAAATTGGAGTCGATTCTTTTCAACCCTGCCACTGTTTTATCAACTGTTTATGTAATCTAAATCCTTTGCTTTCATTTCGAATATGTTCATAGCCTCTTCACCAGAAATAGAGTTTGTCTCAAGAAACCACTTTCTTTGCTTATTCACAAGAAGCAACCTCTGTCTATTACAGTGTTATCATGAGATTGTGGCAATAAAGCCACATCTCCAAGCTTCCCTTCTAGATCGAGTTCTCTTGATATTTCTACCATATCTGGAGTTACTTCCTCCACTGAAGTCTTAACCCCTCAAAGTCACCTCTGAGGAATAGAATCAACTTTCTAACTCCTATTAATGTTGATAGTGTGACCTCCTCCCGTGAATCCTGAATCTTCTTAGTGGCATCTTAGTGAATCCTTTCCAAATGGTTTTAATTTACTTTACCCAGATCCATCAGATAATTCACTCTCTATGCCAGGTACAGTCTTAAGAAAAGTATTCCTTAGATGATGAGATGTGAAAGTCAAAATTACTCCTTGATCCATTAGCCACAGGATGGATGTTGTGTCAGAAGGCATGTAAACAATGTTAATGTCTGCATACACCTTAATCAGAACTCTTAGAGGATTAGGTACATTGTCAATGAGCAGTGATGTTTTGAAAGGAATCTTGTCCTCTATGCAGTAGCTCTCAAATAGTAGATCTGAATTTCAGGAAATTCTGCTGTTAAACAGATGTGGTGTCATTCGGGCTTTATTGTCACATTTAGAGAGCAGAGGAAGAGTAAATTTAATGTAATTCTTAAGGCCCCTAGGATTTTCAGCCTAGGTAAATGAGCAATGGCTTCAATTTAAACTCACTGACAGCCAGTAAGAGAGTCAACTTCTCCTTTGAAGCCAGGCATTGATTTCTTGACTGTATCTTGAAAATACTATATAACGTTCTTATTCTAATATAAGGCTATTTCATCTACATTAAAAATCTATTATTTAGGGTACCCCCTTTCATCAAACATTTTGGCTGGATATTCTGGATAACTTGGTGCACCTTCTACATCAGCACTTGCTGCCTCACTTTGCACTTTTATGTTATAAAGATGGCATCTCTTGAACCAACCTCTTACAAGCTTTAAACTTTCTTCTGCAACTTCCTTACCTCTCTCAGCCTTCATAGGAATGAAGAGAGTTAAAGGCTCACTCCAGATTGGGTTTGGGCTGAGGGGAATGTTGCAGCTGGTTTTATCTATTCAGATCACTAGCTCTTGTCACATCAGCAATAAGGCTGTTCAGTGGAGTAGCACTTTTAATTTCCTTCAATAACTTTTCCTTTGCATTCTCAACTTGACTAATTGGCACCAAAAGCCTAGTTTTCAATCTCTCTTGGCTTTCAACATGCCTTTCTCAATAAGCTTAATCGTGTCTAGTTTTTATTTAAAGTCAGAGAAACCTGTGACTCTTCCTTTCATTCGAACACTTAGAGGCTATTTTAGAATGATTAATTTTTCTGATTTTAATATTGTTGTGTCTCAGAGACTACAAAGGTCTCAGGAGAGGGAGACTAAATGGGAAACAGGCAGTCAGTGGAACAGTCAGAACACACAGAACATTTATTGATTGAGTTTGCTCTCTTATATGTGCCTGGATTTATGATGTCCCAAAACAATTATAATTGTAACACCAAAGAGCATTGTAGATCACCATAACAGCTATAATGAAAATCAAAACATTTGAAATATTGCAAGAATTACCAAAATATGACACTGAGTCAGAAAGCGAGCATGTACTGTTGGAGAAATGGTGCCAATAGAATTGATTGAAACAGAATTACCACAAATCTTCAAGATGTAAAACATACAATATCTGCAAATTTCAGTAAAGCGATATGCAATATAAAATAGTGTGCCTGTACCTATAATTTATTTCCCAAATAATTTGGGCCATAGTTAAAGACATGACAATTTTCTCTAAGTAATTTAATACGTATTTCTTAAGAATACAGGCATTCCTTCCATTCCACAGTATAATTATCAAATTTAGGATATTCAATATCAATGTAAGATTATTATCTGACACACAGTCCATATTTCAGTTTTTTTCTCCACATTCTTACTAATGTCCTTATGGCATTTTTTTCCTATTCTAATTTGAAACTTAGGTCCATGAGTTGCATTTAACTGTCAGATATCTTCAAAATATTTTGACATTAATCCATTCTGAGCGATGTGGTTAATCCACATCATTGCCATTGTAATTTCCTTTGTTAGACTACAACAAATTGTATTTATATTTGTTTGCAAATTTTTAGTAATATTACAAAAATATTGGTACAAAAACCTTTTCTAAATGTGGACTGTCACCTGGAAAACTATGAAATTGCAGCCATTAGTAGTAATACATACACATATTCAGAGTTTTAAATATTAGAATTTTCCCTCTACAATTTTGATACCAATTTGTACCTCACTAAAAATTGTTTGATATTTTTCTTTTCTCCCAATTTTTTTTTTTTTTTTTGAGACGGAGTTTCGCTCTTGTTAACCCAGGCTGGAGTGCAATGGCACTATCTTGGCTCACTGCAATCTCCGCCTCCTGGGTTCAGGCAATTCTCCTGCCTCAGCCTCCTGAGTAGCTGGGATTACAGGCACGCGCCACCGTGCCCAGCTAATTTTTTGTATTTTTAGTAGAGATGGGGTTTCACCATGTTGACCAGGATGGTCTCGATCTCTTGACCTGGTGATCCACCCGCCTCGGCCTCGCAAAGTGCTGGGACTACAGGTGTGAGTCACCGCGCCCAGCTTCTCCCAATTCTTTATGTCTACAATTTTTTCTTTGTGCTAATATTATGTCGTGAAATGTTATTTTAATTTCATTGATTATTGGAATTGTACTATTTTAGTTTCTGCCATTTTGGATTACCTATTTATATATTTCATTCATTTTTATTTTTATCCAATCAAAAGATTGGATTCTTACTGAATTGAATAATTTCTAGTAGAGGCTAGATGTTATCCTTTATATGTATGGAAATATATTTTTCAATCGTGGACTACATCACATTTCATTGAGGAGATGTTGTTGCTTAATGTGCTTACATTCTAACTTAATTGTAAATATTTTCCAACTCACAAAGGTTAATCTACCTATGTATGATTTATTGAAAGGTTTTCAAAGTTTTCCTGATAATATTTGGGACTTTGAATATAGAAATTTATATTTTATATGGGCAAAGGTATGGGTGTAATAATTTTTCCACTTGGATAAAAAATTGACAAATCTCATTGTATTATCCACATTTTCCTCAAAGATTTAGTAATTTTATCTGTGTCATATACAAAATATTCACATTGATGAGACTATAATGGTCTCATTATACAATCTGAATGTTGTATTTCTCTATGCTTGTACATACAAGCATTTGTTTGTTTGTTTGTTTTGAGATGGAGTTTCACTCTTGTCGCCCAAG